TGTCAGGGTTCTGCGTATTTCACACCTGCTCCTCAGCGTCTCGGAAACCCCAAATTCTGACTGGCCTGTGCTGCCATCCCTGGAATAGTGTCTCTTTTTTCAAGTTTTTTTCAGTAAAATTTCTGCCGCAGAGGAACTGGAATCGTGTTGTGCGTAGAGCTCTTTCGCCTGTTGTGTGTAGAGCTTTTTGGCCTGTTGTCTGTGTGTGTGTGCGTTTTTGTTTTTCTGCCCATCTTCCTCCGAGTCCCTCCCCTTCGCTTTCTCCGCCCTCCTTCCCTTCCGATGAAGGGATGCGAATGAGCGTCATAAAAGTAACAGACGCCTTCCCTTTAAAGTCTTTGAGCCGATGTGGAACACGGGAATGTGGGCAGCTCGTGCTCAACCACGGTCATGGCCAGCCTTGTACGTGAGGGACGTAGTAAGAGGGGAGCGGCAATAACGAATGAAAAGGGACTTCGACTAGGCTACCGGCCGGGCCGCCCGGGTCACCCTTTTCCCCAGGTGGCCCGGCCGTGCAAGGACCAGGGGAAGGTCCGAGCAAAAAAAAAGAAAAAAAGAAACCGGGAAGAAAAATCGAAGTCGAACTGTGTTGTGCAGAAAAGTTAACTGAATAACGTTTGCCTACGGGTTACATCGAAATTCTTTACCAGATTTCATTGAAATTCTTTACCAGATTTCATATATATATATATATACCTTCTGGTTCTATCTGTTTTGATGAGAATGATGTGTCTGACTCTTTGTCTTTCTTGCACACATCATTCATACGGCTCGTACCTAATACGCACCCAAGGCTTTAATTGTGATTACTTTTGTGGGAGCTATGACATCCTTTTTTGCGGCAACTATATATATCGATATATATATATGAGGCCCACACCTTGACACCTAAACCAATATGTGGTTCTGCACGTTCCACCACTTTCCTCGTTTGTTGTCCTCTTCTCCCTCTCTGCCTACGGTTTACCGGGCAGTTCTATTTGACGATATATATATATATATATATATATATATATATATACGATATATATATTGTCACAGGAATATCAGAGCACAAATGCGAAAAAAGGAAAAAAGAAGAAAGGAAAACCAGGGATATATTGTCACAAAGTTATCAGAGCGCAAAAACGAAAAA